ACACTTCTAAGAGAGAGAAGAGAGAAGGAAAAGAAGGCTGAGGAAAGAACCTACACTTACGGGGTCGGAAGGAAAAAGGAAAGGAGAAGAGCCAGCGAGGTAGACGGAAGAGGTGGCCAACCTGGACAGCGACCGGTACTGAGTCCGCAATGCATGCCTTTATGCCACCCCACTGAGGGACGATTTTGGGGTTCCGTGCTGGGACAAGCAGGACCTGACCTGCTGCCCACGTGTTGGCAGATGTCTCCACCCCACCCCCCCCACAGCCTGATGCCTCACTGACCAGATGACGTGTGCAGAGGGAGGCGCTAAGTGCCATGGCCTCCTGGCTGCGTGGTCTTGCTCTGTGACAGCAAAGTAAACGTCCCCTTTGTTAAACATTCAGTGACTTAGGTCAAACCTGAATGAAGTGGGCGCTGTGCCCACTTCCTCCCAGAGGTGGGGAAAGGCCTTGAGACCTGCCTCCCCACACTCCAGGCCACCCTGCAGAATGAAGAGATTAGAATAGGAAGAAGAGGGAGATGAGGCAGAGAAAGGGAGACTTGAACACACACAGGAGAAAGGATGAAGACAGCTGTGCCCTCTGAGCTCAAAAACAGATCTGGGATTTCTCCTGAAAAGTAACGCTGGACGCTCTGAGAAAGAAGCCACCGCTTGTCCAAAGAAGCGGTCAGGTAAGAGATCAGGCTGCTGGCAACTCCCTGTTCAGCGGAACCAAAGCAGCGATTTGCAGACCTGGTAACGACAGAGTTCTATTGTCTCACCGGGGCAAAGCCTCCCAAGACTTAGCAAAATGAATGACAAGCCCCTACCTGAGGTGAGGAAGGCCTGCACCAGGCAGTCGGTGTTAGAGGACAGGAGGGGGCACACGCAAGAGATGTTAGGAAGGTAAAACCAACAGGCCTTGGTGAGATTCCATGAGGGCCGAGGCACCGAGGAGCTGAGGACGACACTTGGCCAGCCAATGGCAGAGGAAGGAAGAAGGGGGCAGAAACATGGCAGTCCTGAGCCGAAGGGGAGGCAACGTCCTCAAGGCAAAGGGCTCGGCTTCCTCCCTCGGTCTGCACTAGCCAACAAGCCCTCACCTGCCATTCCCGTCTCATGCCAAAGATCTTGTTCGGCCCACTGAGAGCCAACCCGCCTAGCCCTTCTCAATCACCCCCTAATAAGGGGAGGCAAGACGCTACAAAACGCACAGTCCTTCAAAAATGACTTGGGCTGGTTTTCAGTGTAGCAGACTCAGAGCAACATGAGGGCTGCTCTGTGTCTCGCCACTACACAGACTCCTTCCTGTCAGCTGTGCGGGGTGGGGGGCGCTCTGCGATTAGCACCTCAGAATAGAAGATCTGGACAATGAGAAGCATAAGCAAATGGCTCTTACTCACTAGCTCCTTTTAAGAAAAACAAATCAGCTTTCCATGAGAGGATAAAAGAGGACAGACCACTCTGGGAAAGGCCAATTCCATGACTTGGAAACACTTGACCAAAAACACTGCAGCTAGGTGGCGCAGTGGATAGAGCTCTGGCCTTGGAGGCAGAAGGACCTGAGTTCAAATCTGGCCTCAGACTTACTAGCTGTGTGACCCTGGACAAGTCACTTAACCCCGAAGTGCCTCACTAAAAAGCAAAAAGACAAAAAAAAACCCCACCACTTCCCAGAATCTGATGCTCATCATCAACACTCATTTGCCGTGTTTTGTGCAGACAGACTTTGGGGAGGAAATGGGTGTGCCCAGCTTATGTTACCATCCATGACATGGGCGTCCAAGAGGCCGACAAGCATCTCATGGTAAAGGAATTGGGAATCTTCATTCTAGTCCCTAATTTATACTTATCCACATCACAAAACTGCCACACAATGGAGCTCAAACATCAGACTGAGAAGCCTCGGGGCTGCAGTAGCTGAGATGCCAGGGAAACCAGACACAAGCCCCGAGTGACTCCAGGTTACTAAGAGAGCCACAGACAACGAAGACTGAAATGACCAGAGGACGGCTCCACGTGCGTCCACCACAGGAGCCTGCAGCTGCGGCTGGCTGGCTTTGTGTACGTGGGAGCCAGCCCAAGACATCACAATCAGCACAACAGAAGAGGTTTCCAATTTAGATTGAGGAGAGAAAGGGAGAGCGCAAGGGAGAGCATTCAAGAAAAAGAGAGAGATTACGCTACTAGGTTACAAAAGTCAGCAAGTGTCCTACCTCCCACTCTCCTGCAAGCCTGGGTGGGACCTCCAGGCCCAGCCTCTCCAGCTGCCGATCCCTGTACTTCTCGTACTGACGGTACCCCGCATACCCACCGCCTGTGGCCACCACGAAATGGAATGGGCGCAGGCGGAACAGTGCTCGGGAAGCGGCCGTGTGGAACTTCCTCGTATCTGTAACAGAAGTCAGGTAAGTTGTGAGCTGGGGTGGCATGGCTCCAGGGCACTAGCTGAGGCCAGATGGGGAGGGGTCTCCATTTATCAACTCTATAGGAGGCTTCTCAGAATGAGCTGGTACCACCCTGGCCACGAGATGCCAATGGAGGAGGAACCATGCAACCCAAGGACCCTGATGGTCTTCTAGGAGATCTTCTAAAAGGCAGAAGCAGAGGAGACGAAGCATTTCTGGTCACAAAAGGCCTTTCCCTCTCCCAAGGTTATTTCCAAAAGGTGCAGTCAGAGGGTCAGATTGTCTCCATTACTGCCAAAGAAATTCAGGGTTTAATCTCATTTGACTTCTGGTCACATTTTGCACCTGAACAATTTAGAATGGGACTAAATAGGTCCCTTCTGCACTCTGGCCCCAATCAGGTTCTCAAAATAAAAAACCTGATTCAATTAGTGCAAACAGAGAAGAGGCAAGGCTACAGAACATTACCTTCAATAAACCTCAAAAGCCATAGAGCTATGGCGTCCTCACCAGTTACCCTCTGATGCCTCACCTGAGCACAGAGACGGCCCTGCATCCTGAAAGCAACGTGCCCCCTCCCCCACCTCCACCCCAACACCATCCTGGTGTGCGACCAAGCTAGGAGGCTGCACAGCTCAGGGGTGAGCCTCTCTGTCAGGAGGCTGGTCATGAAGAGATGGACTGGAGGGCTATGGGGACTTAGGACAGAAGGAAAAAAACACCCACAAACTCTCCCTTGGCTCAATGAGATGGGCTTTTTTTTTTTTTTTCCCACAGTGGCTGTGGCAGGAAGCAGGGAACAAATCACCAAGTTTTAAACTGTGCACAAACTATGATTGTGAGTGAGATTCACTCAAGAGAAGGTGGGTAGTTGGGTCACAATCAACAGCAGAGGATGTATAAGACCCACTCACATCTATGAGACCACAGGTCACCCCCACTTGGGTCTTGAAGACCCAAGAACTGGTCTCCTGCTCTCTTTGATCGTGGAGGAAGAACAATCTGGCCCTGATTGAGCCATTGAGCTGCTTTCCCTACCCATGTTCAATTTAAATTTCTTTTCTGCACTCCATTCCATCCCACTCAGGCAGACATTTCCCTTCTCTCTAAACAGCTTTACAACCTCCAACCCAGCCCAGGCAGTGAAAGCCAGAGGCTGTCTTCTCTTCTGGGGGGTTGGAGAAGGACGATGCAAACAGCTGTCTCCAGCTGTTCACAAGAACTCACATGGAAGCCCAAAGGGAAGACATTCATGTTCCTTTAAAAAAATTCAGGGACCTATCTTTCACAACTAAGGGCAGGAGATGAATTCTTAACCAAAAAGGGAATAAAGGGAATTACAAGAGATAAAATAGATCACGTGGATTGTGTGAAATCTAAAAAGCTTTTGCACTAACAAATTTAATATACCTATAATAAGAAGGGAAGCAGCTGACTGGGGAAAAAAATCTTTGCATTAAATATCTCTGACAAGGGTTTGCTCTCTAAGATATATAGACAACAGAAATCTAGAAGACCAAAAGCCATTCCCCCACGGGTAAAATGGCCAAAGGATATGAATGGTCATTTCTCAAAAACAACCATATGAAAGAATGTTCCAGGTCACTAATCATAAGAGAAAAGCAAATCAAAACAACCTTAATGTTTCAAGTCAAGAAAGAGGACAAAAGATGGGAAGAGTCAATGGTGAAGGAATTACGGAAAGACAGGCGGTGATCTGCTGGTGGCAAAGCTGGGAAGTGGAAATGGGAATACAACCACTTTAGAAAGTAACTGGGAATTAGGCAGATAAAGTGGTTAAAAGGTTCATCCCCTCTGACAAAGCAATTCCACCGCTAACCATTTACTTCAAGTAGGTCACTGGCAAAAAGAAAGGATCCATATACCCATATACATTTTAGTGTGTACAGAGCCTTTCTATGGAGCAATGCTTTTTTTTGTTTCCAGCAAAGAACTGGAAACAAGGTGAGAGATGTCCATAGACTAGAGATGGCCAAAGAAATGAATGTAACGGCATATTCCTGTGCCATAAAAAAATAAAAAACATGATAAAATAGAGAGAAGCTTGGAAAGGCTTACATGAATTGATGCTAAGTGAGGTAAGCAAGGCCAAGAAAATAATACATACAATAACATCAACAACAAGGTAAATGGAAAAACCATGGGGAAAAAAAAATCAAAAGTGAACACTGCAAAATTACTACAAACTATCATGACCCCAAAGAAGAGATATGAGAAGCCACTCCAGCCCCACTCCTCTGCAGAGGCAGACGATCCACACAGGTGGAACACTGATTTGATTTTCAGAGCATTTTGATTTATTAACGAGTTTGGCTCTTTCTTTCTTTAAAAATAGTCTATGCAGAGGGCGGAGCCAAGATGGCGGAGGGAAAACAGTGACTTGCTTGAGCTCTCCCCCCAAATCCCTCCAAATCCCTATAAAAAATGGCTCTAAACAAATTCTAAAGCAGCAGAACTCACAAAAAGAGAGAGTGAAATAAATTTCCAGCCAAAGACAGCCTGGATGGTTGATCAGAAAGGTATATCACACTGGGCAGAGAGAGGAGTGCAGTTCGGCATGGGCGCGCAGGCCGCAGCGAACCTGGAGCAGGACTCAGAGGACTGAATCGTGGGTAGCTGTGGTGGTTTCCAGACTTCTCAACCCAGGAACATCAAAGACAACTTAGAAGGTCAGTGGGAAAAGTCTGTGACTGCTGTGAGAGAGGAGCTAGGTCTCAGCCGCAAGTCTTGAGTGTGGCCCAGGGCCGCGGTTGTTTCCTGAGCTTTGGGCCCACAGACTGAGGGGGGAATCAAATGGCTGATCAGAGGGGGATTGCAGGGATCTCTTTGCCAGTGCTGAGGCAGGAATCTCTTACTTTACTGGTGCTTGGATCTGGGTCACAGTTCTGAGGGGGGTCCTGGGGCGAGGAGGAACACTGGTGTGGTGGAGCTTGTTGTGGCGGTGGAGAGAAAACACCTTGCTCCTTATCATAGCACCTTGGAAGAACTGAAAATTTTCAGATCCCTAGAAGTATCTCTGAAAACAGATGTACAAACCTCCGAAGCTTGGGACAGTACATTCTCCACATTGGAAGCAGACTTTTACCTTAACAAAGAGTTTAAAACTCAAGTAATTGGCCAGGATCATGAGTAAGCAGCGCAAAAAGAGTCAGACTATATTATCTTACTTTGGTGACAAAGATCAAAGATACAAGCAGAAGAAGACAACAAAGTCAAAGATCCTACATCCAAAGGCTCCAAGAAAAATATGAATCAGTCCCAGGCCTTGGAAGAGCTCAAAAGGGATTTTGAGAAGCAAGTAAGAGAAGTAGAGGAAAAACTGGGAAGAGAAATGAGAGTGATGCAAGAAAATCATGAAAAACAAGTCAACAGCTTGCTAAAGGAGACCCAAAAAAATACTGAAGAAAATAACATCTTAAAAAATAGCCTAACCCAAATGGCAAAAGAGGTCCAAAAAGCCCATGAGGAGAAGAATGCCTTAAAAAGCAAAACTGGCCAAATGGAAAAGGAAGTCCAAAAGATTACTGAAGAAAATACTTCCTTCAAAATTAGAATAGAGCAATTGGAAGTTATGAGAAATCAAGACACTGTAAAACAAATCCAAAAGAATGAAAAATTAGAAAATAATGTGAAATATCTCATTAGAAAAACAACTGACCTGGAAAATAGATCCAGGAGAGAGAATTTAAAAATTATTGGACTATCTGAAAGCCATGATCAAAAAAAGAGCCTAGACATCCTCTTTCAAGAAATTATCCAGGAAAACTGCCCTGATATTTTAGAACCAGAGGGCAAAATAGAAATGGAAAAAATCCACTGATCTCCTCCTGAAAGAGATCCCCAAAGGAAAACTCCGAGGAATATTGTAGCCAAATTCCAGAGTTCTCAGCTCAAGGAGAAAATATTACAAGCAGCCAGAAAGAAACAATTCGAGTACTGTGGAAACACAATCAGGATAACACAAGATTTAGCTGCTTCTACATTAAGGGACCGCAGGGCATGGAATATAATATTCTGGAGGGCAAAGGAGATAGGATTACAACCAAGAATCACCTACCCAGCAAAACTGAGTATAATCCTGCAGGGGAAAAAATGGTCATTCAGTAAATTAGAGGACTTTCAAGCATTCTTGATGAAAAGACCAGAGCTGAATAGAAAATTTGATTTTCAAATACAAGACTCAAGTAGAACATGAAGAGGTAAACAGGAAAGAGAAAATCATAAGAGACTTATTAAAGTTGAACTGTTTACATTCCTGCATGGAAAGATGATATTTGTAACTCATGAGACCTTTGTCAGTATTAAGGTAGTTAGAGGGGAAAAAATTATATGTACGTATATATAGATATAGATAGATAGAGGGCACAGGGTGAGTTGAAAATGAAGGGGTCACATCTGGAGAATAAAATTAAGGGGTGAGAGAGGATTATACTAGGAGAAGGAGAAAGTGAGAGGTAGAACGGGGTAAATTATCTCACAAAAAAACACAGAAAAGAAAAGGCTCTTACAGAGGAGGGGAAACAGGGGAAGGTGAAAGGGAATGAGTGAATCTTATTCTCATAGGATTTGACTTAAGGAGGGAATAACATACACATTCAATTGCGTATGGAAATCTGTCTTACCCTACAGGAAAATAGGGGAGGAAGGGGACAAGAGAGTAGGGGGATGATAGAGAGGAGGGCAGACTGGGAAAGGGGGTAATTCTGAGGAAGGACGGGGTCAAAAGAAAGAATAGAATAAATGGGGGGGGCGGGATAGGATTAAGGAAAATAGAGTTGGTTTTTCACAGCATGTCTACTATGAAAGTGTTTTGCATAACTGCACATGTATAACCTATATTTAGTTGCTTGCCTTATCAATGAGGGTGGGTGGGGAGGGAGGAAGGGAGAAAATTTGGAACCCAAAGTTTTAAAAACACATGTTTAAAAAAAAATGTTTTCACATGCAACTGGGAAATAAGAAATACAGGAAATGGGGTACAGAAATCCATCCTGCCCTACAGGAAAATGGAAGGGGCAGGGGATAAGAGAAGGGGGGGAGAGATAGAAGGGAAGGCAGACTAGGGGAAGGGGTATTCAGAATGCATGCCATCTTGGGGTGGGAGAAGGGGCGAGATGGGGTGAAAATTTGGAACTCAAAATCTTGTGGAAGTAAATGTTGAAAACAAAAAAATAAATAAAAATTACCATAAAAAATAAATAAATAAAAAATAAAAATAAAAAAAAAATTGTCTATGATGGGGGCAGCTAGGTGGCGCAGTGGATAGAGTACCGGTTCTAGATTCAGGAGAACCTAAGTTCAAATCCGGCCTCAGACACATAACACTTACTAGCTGTGTGACCCTGAGCAAGTCACTTAGTCCCAATTGCCTCACCAAAAAGCAAAAAAAAAAAAAAAAAAAAAAAAAGTCTGTGATGGAGCAGCTAGGTGGAGCAGTGGATAGAGCTCCAGCCTTTGGAGTCAGGAGGACCTAAGTTCAAATCCAGCCTCAGACACTTGACACTGAGTAGTTGTGTGACTCTGGGCAAGTCACTTAACCCCAACAGCCTCACCAAAAAAAAAAAAGTCTATTATATAGGATGGCTGTTTGGGAGGGGGAGGGAAGAAGGGGAGGGATAATGGTGGAAATTTTGACAATGTAAAAAAGTCAATAATTACTTAAAAAACAAAACAAAAACAACATAAAAAAAAGAAAATGAACATTGCAAAATACAAAAACGAAGCTCAGCCTCAAAAAAGAAAAATGTGAGTATACTCCTCCCCCACCTTTCGTGGTGGGGGAGTGTGCAAGTTGGGGACGTGTGTGGGCAGTCCCAGAGTATGGAACATTGCACAGAGTATCACATTTTTTAATGCACTGATTGGTTTTGCTGATTTCTCTTCTTTCTCTTCTCCCCCCCCCCAATTATTTGTTACAAGGGCTGGTTCTCTAAGGGGAGGAAGAATACAGAGGAATACCAAGGTGATATGAAAACAAAAGATATCCATGAAAATCTATTAAAAATCAAAAAGCAATTCATCTTCGGCACCTTCTGCTGCCTCTTTCCCTCAGCGTCCAAAGACACAGGTCTCATTCCAATGATGCTTCCGTAGCCCATGATGGCACTGGGGCAGGGACTCCTTCCACCCTGACAAAGCACAGCCCATCAATAATTCAGGGGAAGGTCTTGGAGAGCATCTGTAGCTCAACTGCAGGGTCCTGCAGCACCCGCCCTGGCCGTGTGCCGCTCCAGGCTTAACTGAGCTGACTGGGCCTCCCACACAAACTCTGTCCTTGGGCCTGGCCTTTCTCTGAAGACTTCCCAGTGTATTTGTGGCCGCCTGAGCCTGTCTTCCACCGTCAGGGTCCTTGAGCGCCTGGAGTTACCAGCCCCACCATGGGAAGGCCCTGGAACAGGACTTCACAGGAGACACGGAAACAAATAAAAGCCACAGAGGTTTCCAAGTACTGCCAGAGGGAAGGATGCTAACCTCTGCCTCACTGACGACTTCCCCCCTTTGCTCCCTAAGTGTCCATCACGTAACCGCTCGACACCCAGAGGAGCCTTAGCACATGGCAGAGCAGGGAAGGTGATGCTTCAAAGATTCCTCTGGGCGGCCATCTGTTTTAAGAGGGCTTCAAAACGTTACTCAATAAAATATCAAACCACAGGACATCCCTCTGTAATACGAGAGAACATAAATGACAGTAACTGACCACCTTGGTCGTGAGCCTCTAAAGGCCCAAAGGGGGCGGCGCTGGTCGTGTGGACGTCAGCAGAATCTGTCAACCAAAGCACAAGAGTGGAACTGCTACTTACCAGTTCGCAATGTGTGGACAGGTAGCTGCTTCCAGGACAGCAGAAAATGGCTCAGGAAAGAACTTCTCCATTGATGGAGGCTACAATTGGACAGAAAGGCACAATGAAAATACAGTTTTTAAAAAAAGTGAATAATTCGTTCAGCCAATACTGACCAATTGCCCACTCAGTGCCAAGAATTGTGAGGGATCCAAAGAAAGACAAAATGGATGTTATCTGCTCCCAAGGGCTTGCAGTTTAGGAGGAGCCCTTAAGCAAGCTCCCGTCCCTGTCTCTGGGCCTCAGTTTCCTCCTCTGCAAAATGAGAGGGTTGGACTACAACATGTACACAAAGAGAATAAATGGCAGACTGACTGTTCAAATGCAGTACAGGGGCTGAAAGAGCTGGGGGGGGTTGGAAAAGAAAAAAAAAACTTGCTTTTGACTGGGGAGCCTAGGGAAGGGAAGCTTCCCAAGGAAGAGACGTGTGATAGAGGTCTTAAAAGAGGAGGAAGATCTCTACAAGTAGTGGTTGGGGGCTGGTGTAGGGGGGAGAAGAGCATTCTCAGAAGAGGGAATATCCTAACCTCAGCATGGAGACATACAGCAGTATGGCTGCAACAGAAGACACATCAACAGTCACAGAAGAAGAGAAGAGCTGGGAAGGAAGAGGACCAGGACAAATATGCAGGATGTTTGATACCAACTGAAGAAGAATAGTCTTCATTCATTAAGACACAGAAAATTCCTGAAGAACTAGTGTGTGGGAGTGGAGGAGGAGATAAGGGAGATGATTAAAGTACAACTAAGAAAGACTGGAACAAGAGTATCAATTGGAAGTAGAAGGAGTCTAAATGAGGATGATGGCTATAGAAAGAGAACACATTAGATTGTCCAAGATTTCTGATCTCAGACCTAAAAAAAGGGAAAAGGATACCACTCTGGGAAATGTCAACTAAGAAAGCCTTACAGGATTTCTGCTCCTTTAAGACTAAAAAAAGGGGCAGCTAGGTGGCATAGTGGATAGGGCTCCAGCCTTGGAGTCTAGAGCACCTGAGTTCAAATCCGGCCTCAGATCCTTGACACTTACTAGCTGTGTGACCCTGGGCAAGTCACTTAAGCCTGACTGCCTTACCAAAAAGCAAAACAAACAAACAAAAAAAAAAACCAACAAGACTGAAAAAAAAAATTTCAATGGGAGGAGGTGTTGTGGGACAGGGTCCAGACCTATGAGTTCACGGTAGAAGAGTACTCCCAGCATAGAAATTCATGCCACTAATCGAGATCAGCCAATCCTCGGTGACTTACAGTATTAGATTTGCCTGCGGAAACCGGAGACTTGCCCAGGAGTACAGAACTCTTACGTGCCAGGAGCAGGACTTTCTAGGGATTCTTAAGCTTCCAAACTTTCCCTACTGAGTTACCATTTCAGCGATCACCTCGGCTTCACTCTGTCTAGTTACACCATATCCATACATCTGACATTAAAACCAAAAAGCAAACTACTTTCCTACCTGTGCTATTTATGCTGAGTTTGGGAAGAGCAGGGTTTATCAGACCATATTCCACAGAACTAGGGTTCCACAGGATGATTTTAATGATTGGATTTTTTTTTCATATTTGAAGTTTAAACTAAAACACCTCCTCCTAGCTCTAAAGGAGGTGAAGAAAGGAACATCAGAACTAGGAGTCAACGAGTCCCAGCTCTACCAATAACATCTGGAGTGACTCTGGGCAAGTCACCTCTTCCCTTCTTTATGAAATGAAAGAGATGGATGGGATGTTCCCTAAGGTCCCCTCCAATACTGATAATCTATGTTCTACAGTCCCTCCCAATCCTGAATTTTGTGTTTTATTAGGAAATATATTGATAAACAGGAAAATACCCATCAATGGGGAACCAAGATGATGAAGGGCCTTAAGTTTCTGCCATATAAAAAGACTGGTGAAGAGGGGCAGCTATGTGGCACAGGGGATAGTGCTGCAGCCTTGGAGTCAGGAGGACCCGAATTCAAATCCAGCCTCAGATACTTGTGTCCCTATGTGCCCTGGGCAAGTCTCTTAACCCTGACTGCCTCACCCAAAACAAAATAAAACAAAAAAAGACTGGTGAAGAAACTGGTGGTGTTTATTGTGGAGAAGCCTCAAGGTAGACAGGGTAACTGGTTTGAAGCTTTTAAAGGCCTGTCATGGGGAAGAGGAATTAGCCTTATCCTGCCTGATACAGAAGACAAGCACTAAGGACAATGGCGGAAGGTGCAAAAAAGAAAACCTAGATTTAACACAGGGAAAAACTTCTGAGCAGTTAGAGCGATTTCTAAATCGAATGGAGCTCCCCCTCCGCTGGAGGCCTTCCGGCCAAAGCAGGACGATGACCACCGGTCAGCTACGCTGCAGGAGGGGTTCTTATTCAAGTCTGGCTGAGGCAGGTCATCATGGAAGGGCCTCCTCCACACAGCCTGTGTCCATCCTCTCCTCGTCCCCTCCCCCTCCCACACCCACCACCATGATGCAGCTCCTCACCATCCCCTCACATCCTCCTTTCTCAAAGCTCTCCTCCCTCCCACTCATGCTCTCCACAGAGCAGCCAAAGCACATCTGTTCCTGACCACATTACACCCCTGCTCAACCTGCTCCAATAGCTCCCTGCCGCCTCTAGGATAAAACAGAGACACTCAGAGTCCTTCATAGTCAGTCTGCCCCTGACCACCCGTTCCCAAGCTTCTTACACATGACCCTACTTCATCTACTCTGAAGTCCAGCAAACTGGGCTTTTTTGCCACTCCTCATACCCATTTCCATGGGGGAATTCCTTCCCAGCATTTCTTGGAAATTTATGTTTTCCTAAATCCCAAATCCTGAGGAAAAAAAAAATCAGTCAAGAAACTGAAGGAAAGCATTAGAATTCTCTTGTGCAAATTAAAGCTTAACAATCAACAAAGAGACGTTAGTGGTTCAAAGGAATCCACTGACATCAACGTGAAAGCGAGAGCAAGAAATGCTGACATGCAGAGTCAAAGGAGAAGGTCAACATTTCCAGGAACTGGGACAGAGCACAAAGGAGAGCAGGAGTCCCGATCCAATCAGTTAGCCGGGCTTTCAAGTGCTGCCATATTCTAACTGGGTGTTTGTGTCCTGTCTGCTGCTAACGATGAGTCATTCTGGAAAATAAATAGCAATCAGCGTATATGCATACTAGACATTATGCTGTGAGTGGTGGTCCAAGAAATAACAAGTCTTAAAAGCAAAATAAGTCCTTAAATTGGTGATTCTGACACATGATTCTGTGTAGAGTGGTTAAATCTCATGAGGAGATCTGAATGCTGCATTATTTGAATACTACCCAAGTATGTTCACTGGCATTTTCCAGTATTTAAATATTCGCTATTGACTACAGTTCTTTGTAAATGCTACCAAACTTACTATTTCTTATTTGTAAAAACAATTTTAGATATCCGTAATAATGAGTAAAGAATATAAAGAATGCTGAAAATATTGTAAGAAAAATAAAGGAATAATCCTCTCTCACCCCTTAATTTTATTTTTTAGATTTAAGGGGTGAGAGAGGATTGTACTGGGAGAAGGAAAAAGGGAGAGGCAGAATGGGGTAAATTATCTCACATCAAAGAAGTAAGAAAAAGCTTTTACAGAGGAGGGGAAGAGGGGGAGGTGAGAGGGAATGAGTGAACCTTACTCTCATCGGATTTGGCTTAAAGAGGGAATAACATACACACTCAACTGGATATGGAAATCTATCTTACCCTACAGGAAAACAGGGGAGAAGGGGATATGGTGAAGCGATGATAGTAGGGAGGGCAGATTGAGGGCGGGGGGAAACAGAAGCAAAACTTTTGAGGAGGGTCAGGGTGAAAGGAGAGAATAAAATAAACGGGGGGCGCATTAGGATGGAGGGAAATATAGTTAGTCTTTCACTACATGACTATTATGGAAGTGTTTTGCATGACTACACATGTATAGCCTATATGGAATTGCTTGACTTCTCAATGAGGAGGGAGGGAGGCAGGGAGGAAGAGAATTTGGAACTCAAAGTTTTAAAAACGAATGTTAAAAATAGTTTTTACATACAACTGGGAAATCAGATATACAGGCAATGGGGTATAGAAATCTATCCTGCTCTACAGGAAAATAGAAAGGGAAGGGAGTAAAAGAAGGGAAGGTGATAGAAGGGAGGGCAGATTAGGGGAAGGGCCATTCAGAATACGTGCTGTCTTGGGGTAGGAGGAAGGGAGATATGGGGAGAAAATCTGGAATTCAAAATCTTGTGGAAGTGAATGTTGAAAACTAAAAATAAATTAATAAAAACTTAAAAAAAAAGAAAAATAAAGGAAATCATTCAGCTCATTAACAGATGTTTTAATGCCCTGTTATAATATGGAAGGCCGCAATAACAATAAATTATGCATTCATTGTCATATCTTTTCCCCCAGAAAACTTTTGAAACTTTTAGTATAAACCTTATCACAGAAAAATGGCTCAGTTATTATTACAGTCATTATTATTTAAAAACATTTAAGTAAAATTTTTTCCCACTCAGCTGACCTCATGGATTTCATGATCTCCAAAAACTCATCACTCTGCAAGATGAAATCAACTCTGAAACTCACATCTCTTTAACTTCATTGTGCCCCCTCTCCCTTTTCAGCTTTTTAACGTGTTGTCTTCCATTAGATTGTGAGCTCCATGAGGGCAGTGACTAACATACCTTTCTTTGTAACCCCAGCACTTAGCACCACAGGTGCTCAATAAATGTTTACTGATTACTGACTGAGAAAAATAGAGAACTGAAGACTTTGGGAATTCCTCAGAATTTAGATTCCCAAATTCCAAAGACAATTATTTGTCAGGAATTTGGAAATACTATTTTGTATGAGCTCTTTCCCATTCCTGAAACAAATTCCTTCCAGGCTCCTCCTTACCTCACAGAATCCCTGGATGCTTTCAAAGTTCAGCTGAAATATCACTTCCCACAAGAGGCTTTTCCTGATTCCCCAGCTTCCCCCATAGTGTCTTTTTACTTTGAATATATTTTGTATATTTTTTACGTGCTGTCTCCCCCAACAGAATGTAAGCTCTTCAAGGA